TTAAGTGAAAAATGATTCTAATCTTATTCTAAATTGATTTATGTAAAAAAATATCATTTGAAAAAATTGTCAATTTCATCCCTTTTCTCAGCACCTAGCCCAAATAAATAAATAAATAGATTAATAGCCAAATGATTATATAACAAACAAATATATTTAACTATACTAACTATTTAAAATCACATGCTATTATATAAAAAATAATAGATTGAAGTAGTGATTCTGGCCGATCAAAATTTATCGGCTAGGCTAAGCCGATAAATTTTGATCAGCTTAGCTGGCTTAGCTGATTCTCTAATTAGACTATTAGCACGTGAATACTGACTATATAAATCATTGACGTATAAACTTTACAGAATTGCTTCTTTACGTAAAACTTTTTAGAACTTTACAAATTATAATAAAATTGATTCTTTAAGCAAATTTGAACAAAAAAAAATATAAAATTTGAAAATTACAAATTGGTCAAATTCTAAAATTTTTTTAAATCTAACACTTATTAAAATTTGTCCTTTTTTTATATTAGTTAAATCAGGATAGGGATTAAAACAGTGCTGGTTTTCCTTTAAAAAAAGCAGATTATGAATTATATTGGGATGAAGGTGATTTCTCTTATCAGTTATAATGTTACTGGCATCAGAAAAAAGACGTTCTGATGGAACCAAAGTTCCTAGAATTGCTAAATACTTTCATGCTTGCTCTGCTAATAAAGGAAGAGTTAGTTTATTATTGTGCCAAAAAGCTAACGGGTTATGTTTTTTATAAAGAGAATCAGAAAGATCATATTTTGTCATTTGTGGCATGTCAAAATACACTTTTAATTCAGCTTCGATAGGACAAACTTCTTGAGAAGGTTTATCAAATAATGAATTTAATAAAGAGGAAGATGGATTATTTTCAACAGAGATTGTTGAATATATATTTTTTGTTTCTTTTATTCTGCATTTTAATTCATTTTTTATTAGCTCTAATTTTTCTGGTTCAAAGTTTAGATCCTTAAATCTTGGACCAAGAATAGCAGCGATATACCCTGGATACGTATCACTTCACCGACGCTAGTTTCGTAGACATAACATTTCACCGACAAAAATTCACCAAATGTCTATTTCACCGAAAATTATTTCTTAGACAGGTTTATTTCACCGACAGTTTATTTCATATAAATTCCACTAACCTTAACTCTAATTCTAACCTGACCCTAACGACAAT